GGTTGGCCTTCCTGACTGCCTCCCCACACTTCCGGCCCATGTTCATCTTGGAATCAACGATGACTCCAAGATCCTTTTCCGCCTCTGTACTGACATGAAGGGAGTTCCCCAGCCTGTAGGTATGGTGCCAGTTGTTCCTCCCCAGGTGCATCACTTTGCACTTGTCAGTGCTGAATCTCATCCTATTCTCATCCGCCCACCCCTGTAGCCTGTCTACGTCTGATTGCAGCCTATTCCTCCCTTCTAGCATGCCCACATCCCCCCACATCTTAGCGTCATCAGCAAATTTGAACAGGGTGCTTTTTACCCCCTCATCCAAGTCGCTGATGAAGATGTTGAACAGTGTGGGCCCGAGGACCGAGCCCTGGGGGACCCCACTGCCCACATCCCTCCAGGTTGAAAATGACCTGTCCACCACCACTCTCTGGGTGCAGCCCTCCAGCCAGCTGGCAACCCAATTGACTGTGTGGGTGTTGACACCACAGTCCCCCAGTTTCTTAATGAGAACAGGGTGAGAGACAGTGTCGAAGGCCTTCCGAAAGTCCAGGAAGACTACGTCCACTGCTACCCCTGCATCTAAGGATTTGGTGATCTGATCATAGAAGGCCACCAGGTTGGTCTGACAGGACCTGCCACTAATGAACCTGAAGCTGAGGGCTTCAATAGGATGTGCACCATTTGGAATACTGTTTGTTAAATTATCCTCCATAATCGCAGGAAGAACAGACATTTTTCTACTAACAACAGAAATAACAGTATATTCTAACAGTATTTTCTGAGGGTTTCAGATTCCTGCCCAGCAACAGAAAACCAAGCAGGTTTCCTGAGCTTCCTCCACTTAACTAATATCTTTTTTCTTCTTTTGAATAAAGCACTTAACAGCAATAAACAAAACAAAGGGGCTGGGGTAAGAGGGGGGGATACAACAAAGGAAAAGCGACACCCGAGTTCTCCAATGCCAGAGAAGTGCAAACAAACTGAATGAGCCAAGATGAAGCGCTGCCAGCTCCTGGAACTCTACGGTGGAGGAAACAGCAGCTAAGAGCTAAGGCCCAGGCTGTTTCTGAACATCTCCAGGAAACGGGTACAAGCTAGCCAGATGGCAAAGCAACTGAACCAGGTGCACAGGGAGGTCATACACATTGAGACGGGTGTGGATCACTTAAGGCAGAAACATTGACCTAGAAAGAGGAGTGTGTGTACAGCCGCACTGGTCTGGTCCCTCAAAGCATAGATCCAAACAGCAATTCTACCATCTTCTAACTTTAACCGATTCTCATAGAAGGACTCTGTAGTATGAGATATGAGTAGCTCCACAGAATGCGCAGGAGAGGCGGAAGCTGTGAGACTGCCTGGGAAGAATGCTGAGCTAGTCCTTTGACTACAATGGTAGCAGCAGCTGTCCCAGCAGGGGAACGGAAGTGCTGAGATGTACTAGAATTCATTTGATGAACATTTCAAATTTTGATCATATGCCTTACTGAGTTATAAGGACTCAGCTCCTAGGCACACCATGGACAGCTAATCTGCCGACCAGCTTCACTGCTTTTCAACTGCCCATTATTTTAAGCACACACTCTCCCCTTTAATTTCTAATATTAAAATCATCCCTGTTGCAAAAACACAAGAACTTGTAACTTGAATTTTGGAAGTGAGCTGTTTTCATGATACTCCAGAAAGATGGTATTGAGGGTAGTAGACTGGCAGCTTCACTTCCATCCACCGATATATTTTATTTTCTGTTTTCCTACAATAATAAATTACAAAGAGGCAAACAAGATAAAAAGCTTATTTTCATAGTTCACATTTTTATTAGCTTCTTGCTGGCAGGCATTACACTTGGGAATAATACTGCACCAGGCATTAAAAATATGAATTCTACCACAGGAACATTTTGCATTCAGAGTCCAATATAAATATTTCTAATCATATTTCCATGGCTACAGATAATATTTGGTTGCTTGATTTATATGCATAGAAAAAAACAGTTGTCATAACTGTAAGAAATCGTACTTAACAAGTACTTTAAAAGGGGCTGGATTTGTTTTCCTAAAATATTACAATACTGTTTACTGATTTAGAAACTAGGTTACACTACATGATTGTAGCTTTTCCCCAGCTGCATCTTAAATTCTGTTTGTTCTTTACTCCTGGAGGTTTAGCATTAGCTGAATTAGAGACCATTTAAAACGGAGACAAATTTTAGCACTTCAAATGACTTAGCTGTGCTAATGACACATAGGGTCCTATCCCACTGGTTGTTAGGACCCCCTTGTCCCAAAAAGTCTCTCAACAGTTTGAACTGGCACATGCATTTTTGTTTCTGGACAAAACAAAAACAGAGCTGCTAGAGAAAGTAACTTCTCTAGACCTTAATGAATATTAATAAATAGTCATAAAAAAAAAGAAGCACACTGTTGGTTTCGTCAAACCCAGGTCTGCACAGGTGCACTGTCCAGAAAGCTGCTAGCCACTGACACGGCTCCTGTGGAATCAAACATCAGTCATCCGTTTTCCGTGCCAGCCTACAGAAAGTCCAGTTGTGCTCCACCGTGTTCTCATTGGCCCGTTCGCTCATGTGGTGGACACGTGTGTTTCTGATCGTGAAGCCTTGCTTTGTGATGTACTCCATCAGGTGGACTCGGAGAGAAACCTCCTGGTGGTAATCACACGGTCCAAATGTGAAGGAAACTTGGCAGTCTCTGGTGTCCATCATGTGCTTATTCCACTTGGTGAAGTGGTTTGAAATGCCTTCCAGTAAGGAGTGGACCTTGGTCGTGATGGTTAACTGTGTTATAATCACTGCCACTGGATTGGAGTATTTGGAAAGCTTCCGTGTGCTGGACAGCTCCACTACTTCCTCAAAGGTATCCATAGGATACAAAGGCTTGGGGTCATTAAGACACTGGATTAGGGGTTCAATCTGGTAAAAGTCTGCTTCTTTCCGGAGCAGATCAAATTCCTTGAAGTCCAATGGCAAAGTCAGCTCCGAAGTCCTTAAAAAGTTAAGAACATATCGGAAAAGTGGTCCATCTCTGTCAATAAAGTAATTACCCTGAGAGTCCCTGGCAGTGGGAAAGTCTCCCCTGAACATGGCCCCAAGCATTGAATCTGGATACCTCGTGAGAGTGGTCAGGGAAGTTGTATACATGTGTCCACCCACATTGATTGTGACTGGATCAGTCATCTAGAAAGAAAGAGAGAAATGACAGAGTTTATCAAGTCCCCGCAAGAATTTTATCACCAAGGCACATGGCAGTTACTGCTAGAAATGGGCTCAAGAAAGAACAGCATCTCCTCAATTGCAAACCCAGGAGAAGCCTCACTCTTGAGCAAAGACAAGAAACCTGGTGACACAGCACAGCTGGTTACAAGAGAGAATATCCAAAGCTCGGTGCAAATTGTGAGGTTCTTTACAGACACTTAAGGCCAGCATGAAGCTTCCCATCAGCACAAAGGACTCTCTCATCAGCAAGGTAAGTGTTTCCTATTGTGCAGAATGTCAAAGAGATGCAAGAAATGATTGTTCTGGGCCTACAGAACCAGATGGAGTCAGACGCCCAAGGATCTGTCTCCTAGCATGTCTCATGCTTCGGGAGAAACATAGCAAATATGCCCCAAATCTCTTTGCAGAAAATTAAAGGACATTTAAAGTCAACCTTTGCTTTAGCTGTTGGGAGCCATAAAGACAATACTGTAGCCTCAGCTTGTAAAAGATGCATCTGTCAGACAATGGTTGACTGTGTAGAGAAGGTACCTGGGGACTGAAGGCAGCCCATAGCTATAACCACCCACATCACACCCAAAAAGGCAGGTGAGAGAAGAAATACAGATCCCACGCAGTCACTGACTCATGGTCAGGGCTGACGGCCTGCCAGATGCATCCAAAGAGAATGCTTAGAGGAAAAAGGGAAGGAGCAATAATAAGATGAGTGAGTCTGGCCTAGTTTTGGAAATGCAGTTTAAGAGACAAGAATACTTTTTCCCCAAATAAAATGGCATCAAAGTACGTAAAGGAACGCGGAAGAAGATTTTGCTTTTTCCAGGACCCTGTACATCAGGGAGGTTGCTTTCCAACACTTCCTAGCCCATCATTGTGGCCCAGTCTTTTTAAGAGAATTGTAAGTGTTGTCTTAAGTCGGCCTACGTGCCCTCAGTGGCCTGGGCAATCGCCATGTGTGGCATGTGGCAGATAGGGCAGACAGAAAGGCAGGCAGGAAGCAGAAAGCAAAGCAGCAGATCAGGCAGGGAGCACAGGGAAAGGAACAGAAAGCAGAGCAGCTGACAGGGCAGGGAACAGGATCAGTGTGGCACTTGGGGAAGTAGTGGGGCTAGTTTGTAGCACAACTGCCAAAAACGGCTGACCCCACTGTTTTATGTAATTCCTGCTGTCTGGAGATTAACAACGTGAAAGGCCCCGACAGCCATACTGAAATGAAACACCTTCTAAAGACAATGTAAGTAAATTGTTTTTAATAAGATTTTTCTTCTCATAATATTTTCTTCTCTGGGTCTATACAAAGCCAAGAGACTGGAGGGGATCCTTACTTTAAAATCTGGAAAGCCTAAGTCTCTCTCAGCATGCACACACATCTGTACTGGCTCACTTACCATATATCCCCAGTCTCCATTATCCATCTGTTCTGTTGCTTGATCTATGGGAGTCCAAGTTTAACAGAAGGTTGCTGAAGGGATATACAATTCACGTCTATTCCCCCTGCAGACAAACAGATAGATAAAACAAATAAATAGAGAGATCTGTCAGACTATAAGCATTGCTGGTCTTTAAGTGATTCTAATCAAAGATAGGCTGGGCCTTGCTGTCACCTATTCAGGCAGCATAGCAGCAACACCCACAAATGAGGACTTCCCTGTACTGATCTTCCAGCATCCTTTCCACTGCCTGAACACAAGCCCCATCTAGAGAGAGCAGCGCCTTCATACACTGTCCTCAGTATTCCAGATTTGTTAAATAACCCGTGTTGCATTTCTGAAGATTTATACTCGCACACCAGCTACATTTCATCTGGATGATGTACATCTATCTTGAAAAGTAACCCCATTTACATAAGCCAAATGCTTGATTTATTCATCTACTGAGATAGACCTTCCGACATAAGACGTGGAGACCTGTGTGCTAGCTTTACAAGTCAATAATTCTGTATCTCAGCATCAGCAGGAACAGCAGCAGGAACTCAGAAGTCATTTGGGGGGGGGAGCAGGAAGGAAGTAAAAGAAAACTTCCTATAGGTGGTCAGGAACATTCACCTTCAGGGCAAGGTCCCATTAAAACCTTCCATCCTCCCACTGCTGGAAGGATGGATGAAATGCTGTGACATGGGTTGGTGGCAGACCAGGCTAGTCAGTAGCAGAGCTCTCCTTTGGCTTAAACTCTAGGATTTACAAACAGTTTGGTACAGAAAGGATCTTGTGGGAGCTTTGGAAAACAAATTAATCCAGGCATGTGTTACCCAGCAAGTAAAGTCACAGCGCTTAAGCCGAGAGGTAAAAATCTGCACCAGTCAGTGACTACAGAAGTAGTGTTCGATTTCTGACGCAAAGTCTGCTCTCTGTAGCAGGCACA